CTCTAGTTGCTTTTGCGGATGACACTGCATTAATTTACAAATTAAGATTCCATTGAAACTTTAAAATTAAATATTCAATACGATGTAAATGTTCTTCGATGGTGGTTTACCAACAACTTTATTGTAATGAACCCAAAAACTAAATATATAATTTTTAATCCATCAAGAAACATAAGTTTTATTACTCCGATAAAATACCACCAAACAAACTGTCAATCTACAAATTGTAATTGTCCTGCTATTGAGCAATAGAGGAAATTAAATATCTTGGATTGTACTTAGACTGAAAGATAAACTGGAAATGCCATATATAGAGAATAAATTAATAAAATACGTAAGGGTGTTTTATATGTTAAAAAGTATGTGTAATCAACGCCTACTCATAAATATTTATTATGCGATGGTAAATTCTAAATTGGAGTATGGTTTAGCTATCTATGGAGGAGCTTACTTTTCGTCAATAACTAAGCGATTACTTGTCTTGCATAAAACCTTTATAAGGATAATTAGTAACAAATGTAGAACAGAACATGCAGCACCACTATTTAAAAAGTTAGATATTTTGCCTTTCAGAAATCTATTATAGGAATAAAGTTTTACGAATATTTTGTAAAAGAAGTAGAGATGAGGTTGAAACTATGTCTGAAAGGAGAATAACATAAAAAATAAGTATAACGCAATAGTTGCAAAACCAAATTTAACAGCTTTAAGTTTTATTTATTCCTTGCACCCAAAATGTTTAATGCTCTACCATTCAATCTCAACACCATCTCAGAAGCAGATTTTTCTAGGCAGCTGTGGCCTTATTTATAAAATTTGGAAAATACTCAAATGTTCTTTTATGGAATTTAGAACCATATTATAGAAGTGAATAATATAGATAATAAGCTATATAAAGCTTTTACTCTTTTCTATCATTTTTGTTGGTAAGCAGTGTATCGTTTTTTACTCTGTGCTAAAGAAGATCACTTTGTCGAACTCACACTCACTGTATATTATAACCAAGTGATATAAGTGACAGGACAAAACCACCTCTTCGATATTTTAGAATTAAAGAAAGTGTATAAATCCACCGACATAGGTTTTAAACCTAGGTGGTTATTGTTTTCTTTTTCTTGTGTAAATGTATTTTTGGGTTTGTTGTATGGAAAAACAATAAAGATTTCTTAAAAAAAAATTTGGATAAGATACCAAAGGACATGCAATAGTTTACATACAGATTATTATATTAACGTAAAAATGATTTTAGGTTGTTTAAATTTTAACAAAAAAGTAAGCAACAAAAATCTACATAAGCCGAGCAAAATTTACCTCAAAATTGTTATCAGCAGATCCATAATCTAATGTAATTTACTTAGTGAATTCAGTATTCCACTTAGATACACACCAGCTAAGAAAACACTTTCAAACTACTAGGTTAAATTATAATTAAATGAAAATAAAAGAAAATCGCTGAAGAAAATTGGATCACTGAAGTCGAGTTGGAGTTGCCAATAATGCCAATTTACTGTTGAAGACTCTTAATTGAGACAATGGCAAAGTCTCTAGATTGTTAAGTATTATTCCGTACTATATTATTGTAAAGAGTAGTTTTACTACCCACCAACCTTTATTTGTTTAAATAGTTTGCAAATCGATTCTTTCAAGGATTGCTCAAGCTCAAGAAATACAATACTGTGTCAATTCAGTTTTCTTATCAGGTGAAATATATCAAATTGTCAAGCCTTACTCTCTTCCCATTGTAATATGTACGCAAAACCAAATAATAATAGTAAATATTTAATGTCAACCAAGTTTGTGTAATCATAGACAAATAGAATTACAACTTAAATATTAACAGCAATTAAATTATCCAGCTGAACAGAATGTAAACAAACATGTTCTTCATAAGGATAACATGGGATCTTTAAAAGCCACTGGGGCAAAGCCTAAGGGACTTGAGAAAATTTTAGGCCTCTTTGCAATTCTACGCCACATGCTATATTAAATACGCTCTTTCTAATGAGACGTGAATGGTTAACATTGGTTAGGAAATGGCAGAATTTATTTGAGTTCAGAGAACCAATTTCATGTTGCGTGTTAATTACATAGACTTTTAACAAAAAATTCAACCCAGTAAATAAAAAATGTGGTAAGACTGTAAGTTTATTATTAAAATATGTAATAGCATACTGAAAAATATACTTTACTCGCACATATTTTGAATTACTAGCATTGATAGCATTACATTAATTTCTCTTGATGTAGTGATATCGATGTTTAGCCCATTAGCGAAACAATCATTACATAACAATGGATGCCATTGTCAAAATACAGGGCAACGATGGGTCGCATTAGCATAATATATATGACGTTCTATTGTTGCATAACTATCATGAGTAATTATTGACGTGCCACTTACATTGACGGTGGAAGAAATAATATATACGATCATACTGATTGTTGAAGCTGTAAACCATATTTTTCATACTTTTATGACAGTGTACTTGTGCCTTACTTACTTGTGATACTTTTATGACAGTATATTTATTATTTTTATGATTTCAGAAGTAGGTTTCTCACTTATTGATTACGATTGTTGACATAAGTTTGTCAAAATTACATTGTACATACATGAAGTAAAAACACCCCAGTTACATTCATTATCAGTTTGACATAATATGGATCACTGTACGACTTAATATTTTACCAATTTTACTACAGGTGCAGTTTGCTATACAGTAATGAAAACGGTGGCAAATAGTTGTTTTGCCAGATTAAAAAAGAAACGGTTAACTTTATTGTGGAAAGCCTACAAAATAATGTCCAACCAATGTGATTAGGCAGTTGTAATCAGGTTCAGTTTGATATAGTATGCTAAGGAATGTTGATTACTCGTTGGTCAGCTTAATCATTAACTATATAACACTACAACGTTGCACTGAATATGTGCAATATGTGTTGTGTAAATATGAATATGGAAGTTAAAGTGCATTGGATTTAATGCAAGCAATGAGCTCCCCTACTATTGAGTTACATTTGCATATGGTTGTTAGGTTTCACAGTTTTTTATAATTATAATTGTATAGTAAATTAATTGTTATGCTTATTTAACTAAGTTATTGTTCGATCTTTTTTTATTTTTATTATGTGAAGTGTGAAGAACTTTTATTTTGATTTTAAGCAGCCAAATAAGGACTCTATCACGCACAGGCCATTGTGACCCATGTGATATTTTTATTTCCTTAATGTAATGCTGCAAAATAATTTGTTGTAAATAAAGAATTTCTCTCTCTCTCTCTCTCTCTCTCTCTCTCTCTCTCTCTCTCTCTCTCTCTCCCTCTCTCTCTCTCTCTCTCTCTCTCTCTCTCTCTCTCTCTCTCTCTCTCTCTCTCTCTCTCTCTCTCTCTCTCTCTCTCTCTCTCTCTCCCTCTCTCTCTCAATGGTTTAATCCGTGTTCAGTTCAGTTTCATCTCTGGAATAGAGTTGATGGACTAACTCAGACAAGGGAATAAGTGAGTAATAGTTATTCCCTTATTTGTGGAAATAAACACTCGTGATTCTAATTTTATTAAAGCTCGTTTGGATTTAGCGAAGAATACTGCAAAACATACTCGTTTCAGCAATTTCATTAAGTTTGAGTGTTCATTACCTGCATAAAGGTGAAGCTTAATAAAGTGATAAACATTCTACTAAATAACTGTAATCTTTTACGTTGCTTTCTGAACTAGCAAAGAATATCTATCATGACAAGTTTTTTTAAAGTGGTATATTTTACGATTTAGAACGGTCCCATTGTAAAAGGAATTCAACAGAAATGGTGGAATGTTGGAAGCGTAGATGGTGGAAATTTACGATCCAAAATACATTCCATCCCTCCCCTCTTCCATCAAAACTTCTCCCACAACAGTTAGTGTACAGTGTACAATACTCTGCTAATGGAACAGCCGGAAAAATGAATCATCTTGTGTAGGCCTACTTTCGTGAGGATTATCATACATAAGGTTTTGCTGTTTGTGTTGTCCTGTTGTCAAATACAAGTATAAGAAAGCAAACCATATTATATCTGTTTGTAGTAAAAGTATGGCAAATAAAGTTAAAATTCTTCTAGAAGAACTGGTAATATTGGAATGAATATAAATTTGAAATAAAAAGTTCACTAATAATTTTAAGAATTTTTTATTTCATGAGGCCTCTCGCAAGCCATGCTGGCATCATGACTTTTGTGATGTTTCTGATGATGCCAGCATAGCTGGGAAAAGGCCTTATGAAATTAAAAATTCTGAAAATATTGGTGAAGTTTATCAAATTAAGTAAAAATTATCGTTAGCCATAAAAGATCTCAATTTGTAGAGCAATATCAAAGTCACTAAGCCATTGAAGTTCATCTATGTTTGTTTGTTATTCAATAGAAATGCATTGAAACTAGTCCTATGAATAATTTAATAAAAATGCAACTAAAAATAATTGGTTAGGGAATTGAAATCGTAATAGCCTAAAACTTATCAGGGGACAACCAACCTGGTCCGTGAGATGAACCTACATGACGATATGCACAGAAAGCTCCTGGAGATCTACGAAATGATTATAGTGTATCATGGTTTAGGAGACATATAAAACCAGTTGACTGTTTAAATCTTTGAGGAGGGAGATGATTTATTGACCATAATCATTCAATAAATCAGTGGGTTACTCGTTTTTATTGCCAATATCGTTGCCTTTTATTTCACGAGCATCCATAGATACAACATATTTCACATTCCATCATGTGGGAAATCATGAAAACCGTCGTAGAGATGTGGGTAGTCTTAAAATAGATATTTTTGTCACCTTATCGACCCTGAACTAACTATAAAGCACCCTTCTACATCTCTAAACCCTCGACCATGACAATACCACTCCACGTCACATCCGTTAATTTGTCATATTTAGTCCTGAGACGTCTTGGGACGAAAGCCTTTTTTATTTTAATGTTAAACAGAAAAACCCACTTAAACTATTACGAAATGCAACGAACTCACCATCATGAAGGGGGTCGATGGTGTGGATCATAAGTTGGAGCAGACCATGTCTGAATTTGTTTCCTGAAGGCTGTGCGGGTGCACCACCACTTCCGGTTCCCCCGCTAGCACTTCCTCTTCCGGCCGAGGGAACTCCACTTCCTGCTGAGCCGCCGCCCCCGACGCTGGTCTGACTCGAGGTGGCAGCGTTTCCATGCTGGAACACAAAGGAAGAGTTAAGGAAAGGTCTGGCAGAAGACGTAAAACCTGCTGGCAAGTTAATTCGTCAGCGTTGTATAAAATATATCTACTACAGAACCAAATACATGGCGATAGGCAATTAGAGTTGCCTCAAATATGTTTTATAGCCCTATGAATTCTCAAGGAGAAGTTTGGAGAGCACTTATTGAACGTGTGATCCATAAAGATTCTGTCCCACACATCTAGCCCACTTTAAATCTCAAACTATTTTTACTAAGAGTAAGGAACTAATTTATCCCTTTAATTCCTCACACATTGTTTGTTTTGCATTCTAGGATTAAGTACAACGTCTCTGATCGACCGTGTACATAAAAAGGTATTGTTTTTTAAAATGTTCTAATCTTGTTTGTCAACTAAATACTCTTTTAAGATTGTACGATAATAACTAAACACGATTAAAATAGAGATATACTAGGTGGAACCCGCTGAAACCGACGGTTAATATTGAGATTTCAAGCAAAATCATTTAACTATCAATCGATTTTAATAACCCTATTTTTTGGAACAATTTGGGTTGTTCAGGATTCAGCAGCGTGCTTTAATGATCAATAATTCAAATGACAGCTGTTATTTCACCGAAGATTTTAAGACCAGAACATATAGGGTAACGTAATTTCAATTGAATCAATATATCTAATATTAAAATCCATATCTAAGAAATAATCAAATTTATGTTTTTTGATTGTGTAAAACCATAAGTATCTTGAACTTGACTGATTCAAACGATCAATATCTCAAATGAAAGCCTTTATCTCTAGGAGTTTTTCTAAGTCATATAACAAATCTAAAATAAAAATGGTGTTACGTAATACGTATCATTGAATGCAGATAAGTCCTAAAATAATTATAATTATTTTTGAGTCGGGATTCATCAGTGTTTCAAGTACGTCCGATCTTAATAATCAATAGCTCAATTTAAAAATGGCATTTCACTGTAGGTTCTTAGACAAAAACATATAGGATAATACAATTAGAGCTGATGAAAATCATCTTTAATTGAAGTCAGAACTAAAAATAAAATAAAATTTTTGTTTTTTGGACGAGTAATACAGTGGATAAATTAATAATGATGCTTGATGCACTTAGACAAGTTAGGATTTACATCTGTGCGTGCCTGCATACCTCTAATTTAAGACCAAAATTATGAAAATCAGTAGGGAAGAAGAGTCAAACCAACTCTGAAAATAAAAACAAATTTAACTCCCATAAGAAATGCAAAGGGAGGGAGTTGCTTTTGTGCATGATTCGAATTATACGTTAAATAAATGAATGCCGATGCTCGATGGCAAATATGAGCGTACATACCTATAATTTAAGACCAAACAAATTATGAAAATCTGTCGGGTAGAAGAGCCAAACCGACTCGAAAAAGAAAACCAATAATTCTTTAATACATGGAAGATTATAAAGTGCATCATTCTTTGTGACTTTACTATTTTTATTAACACTATCAGTTGTGCATGGATAGAGTTCGTCTAAACAAAGTAAGGGAAAAAATATCCGCTTCTTCATGGTTAGTTTTTCCTCCATTCAACCTAAGTCACGTGACGTATTGTGTTCACGTAGGAAATCAATAAACAAATTTAAATACCAATCTGAAATCACTACCAAACAATACACTTTAAATCGATGTTTGTGATAAAGATGAGATGGGCATACTTTCCTTGATTTTTAGAATATTATTGGGCCACGAAGTATACAGAAATAAAGAACAACTCTTGGTTATTACGGGAAAAATAAACCTTCGCTGCCTAATCAACCCGGTAAGTTTTAACACAATTGTCTTCAGCAAGAACATTTAATTTTTTTATATCAATCAACACTCCTACATAAAACTGCGAAGACGTTAGTGTAGATTTTATTGAGACCAGCCATTGTGCAACTGGTCCCGGTAGAAAATGTAATTTGTATCATCAGTTTGCATTTGAAATCCACGTGACACATACATTTTGCAATGGCGTCCTACAGAATGCGACAAAGAAAATTAAGTTAAGGGTGGACAGCAGGCGCGACACAGTCGTACCAACCGCAATCATTCGGAACCCTATTGGCAGACATGACAGGACGTGATTCATGTTGCTAATGGAAACAGGTGCACAAACAGCCTGTGTTAAATGTTTGAAACTACTCGATCTAAATCCTTAGGCCGGGGCCACACGTGGCGGATCGTCCGCGCGGCTTATGATCGCGCGATCATAAGCCGCGCAAAGGTGTCCCGGCCACACGGGGCGGATGAACCGCTTCCGGTTGAGGTTTCTCAGCCTACGTACTGTAAGATTAGAACATTGTTTAGTTCACTCGTTCTTGTTGTAGTCATGGACAAAACACTTATGTTAGTTTGTGAATTAGAAGCGTGTGGTGAGAGCCTAAGGTTAACCGAAATCATTGGGTTCATCCTTTCACAACCGATAAACCATTTGTGTCCCAAACCTTTTACGAGCACATGCGAAACCATAGTTCGGAGCTTTTTTTACTATTGCATGTAAATATCATCGTTTGATGAGCTACTTCAATTGCTTTGACCGTATATAACTAAAAGGAAGATACTCTAATGAGAAATGTACAACATGAAATACAACATGAGAAATCCCACAGACATGGTTTGTATTAACAATTTCTATGTATTTGTCTGTATCGAACATTTTACACCTATAAACCAAAACGAACAAGCACGAATGCTGGTTCGCGAACTCGTTCGAATAAACGACACGTAAGTTTACACGTTTGTACCAAATTTCATCAAAATCGGATCATTTTTGCTTGAGTTATCGCGCCAACGGACACACACACACACACACACATATATATATATATATATATATATATGAATTTGAACGGATGGTGTTTTTGGCCTCTAGGGACCTCAAAACGAAAAATAAAATCGGTCCAGGGTCCAGGTCTTACCATGAGTACTACGGTAATAGCTTATTCCCTATATGGGAAATTCGCTAAAAACAACTACAAATGCTTGAAAATGAGCTCCACCCGCGCGGACAATCCGTATCGTGTGGCCACTCTCATAAGACTACGTGTGTCATCCCCTCCAACGCGGCTTATGATCGCGCGGACGATCCGCGACATGGCGCGGACAATCCGCCCAGGCGGCTTAGGATCGCCCCGTGTGGCCACTCTCATTTGATTCAATGTGTTGTCGTACCACGCGGATCATCCGCGCGGATGATCCGCGTCGTGTGGCCCCGGCCTTATAGAGTTCGTATATCATTTTATTATATTGAAAGGGGTGGAATTTAATTCGAATATTAAAACTATTTTAATACATACTTGAACCCCAATTCATAAAATTCAATAACCATTTTGATGGGTATAAAACTCACTAAAAATTATAAACGTAGATACTATATAAATTTCATAAATGACTTTTCACTTTAAACTGATTAAATGCAAATTAATGTTTGATGCAATTTGTATTTATTTAAAAGCTCTCTATTGAGATTATTTGCAGATCGGACCTAAAACAACACCCCAGCCCTTATCCCCAAATTATTATAGGGTTCTCATGAGTGGTTCACCGATCTCATTTTTACTTTGCCGTGACTACTTTCCACCGGCGAGTGTCACGACTCATATTCAATGGTTAAGTTTTTTTGTGCAGGTGCGAGGGTCTAGTTCAGCGTGAGTTTCAATAAATCAGCGACCTTCCTCAGGTTCACCAAATATGTTACAGCAAAATAGGCGGGACGTGTTCGATTAACATAATTCATAAGTTTCACACCATCAATATAAATAGGTCATATGATACAAATCTCTCTCCACAGGTAGATAATGATTTGGGCGTGTGCTAGCCTAGCGATTAGTGTCTCGGGCTTCGGTTAGAGAATGATGCTTGATCCTCGGTAAATCTGCAATTATTTCTAGGGTAGAAACATATTTTTTTCTTAAAACGTTTGATATTCTTAAAATAAAAAAAACCCCTCGTGTTGACACACAAAAAAGTTTAATACATTTCTGGCAGAGGATGTCATAAAACAAATTTTGAAGGGTTCAAGTACAAGTGACTGACCAATGTGGTAGGGCTATATTCACTTAACCTTCAAAAGAAAGCCTGATATACAAAAATGGGTACATTTTTAACAAGTTATTACCAATTATGAAATAAAACAGTTTCTAAGAAACAGTTCAAGCAATAAATTTATCACGGTGTTTGAACCTGCTTTAGATAAAGGAATATGCAGTTTTTGATACACAATGATAGTAGACATGGTCATAAAATGGCGTCCCAATAGGATCGAGCTCCAAGCCCCCTTGAAGGGTGATAAAATCTCTAAAATACACTCGCTCTTGGCCTCTTGATTTTCGGAACCAACCGGCCAACTGTGATACTTTCGCTTATGAAAAAGCAGCCAATAAGTTATCGCTAGAGTAATAAAAGAAAACATCCAACCAGATCACATAATTTGTCCGAGTTTTCAGTTGAACAATGTCGTTAACAATTACAAAATATTAAAAAATCTGTTGTCCGGAGTAAAAAAAAATGTAGTTGCACGTTATAGAACATGGTCAAATTGGGCAAATGTATTTATTTCATCCTATAATATTTATATTTGATCAAAAACAGTATTTCCCTGTCATCCTCTTAAAAAACCTTTGCGATCAATTTAAGGCATGATTTTAAAAAAGATTTGTATTTTCGGAAAGCACGTGATTAACCTTCTCTTCCTCGACATCTTAAAACTCTTGTAATATTTTAGGTGTTTGTTCTACAACAAAGGATCATCTGACAGCAGAAATGTGTTAAGCGTTTACAAGCTGACATACTAGATAGCTTCAGGAGAACTCATCTTACTATAAAGACACGCGATCTATAGGGATATTTTTCCTTATTTAGGTAGGAGCAATGCCCTCATTTGATTGAACTAAATTTGTTTTTAAAATACTCATAGATATTTAACCTCCTAACGCTATTTAAAACTAATACAATAACTGGAAATATGTTTT